AACTGCTTGGAAAGCTGCTTTTCACCGTGGCAAGAGACACGATAACGTGTAACGATTGGCAGCTCTGCCATCAAGCACACGTACTTACTTATCCAACTTGCAAATAGAGCCGGTTGCCTGTTAATTAATTGGGTTATCGATCTCGTTTACTTTCTAGAAGTTACATATACCCAGACGTACCTCATCCGTACACGTGACATTACAGAGCACACGCGAACACGTGCCACGTTGCACCGTTCGATCGTCTTTTTTCTTACAACCCCACCCACAACCCTAATTTCGATTCCGTCAACCTCCTAATGATGAATGAATTTCTAACGTAAGCGCGACACTAACCAAAAGAAAGATCGTTTGATCGCAAGCGCACCCTTGGACCTCCGATTTATCGACTCTCTCTCTCTCTCTCTCTCTCTCTCTCTCTCTCTCTCTCTCTCTCTCTCTCTCTCTCTCAAAAATTATTCTCTCAACCTAGAAAGACTGTTCTCGACGAAGCCTCCGTACATATTTCGTTGAAATTCATCAGCTTTATTCATCGGTAGGATGTTCACTTTGACGCGTACCTTTCCGTTCTTAACGCAACGTTTCCGGTCGATGTGCGTGCCCGAGTGTGCACGTAGAAGACGAGGGAGGATGTCGGTTGGATCGAATTGCATTCGATTCACCGGAAAATTAAAGCTGCCGGTTAAGCCCGCGAGTTTCTTTTCTTACTTCTCCCTCCTTTTCTTCTTACCTATTCACTCGATTAAACTTGACGAATTCGACCTTTGAGTACGTGGCTGGACTTGCAATTGTAACGAGAGAAAGAACGTTGAATATGTTATTTCTAATTGCCGATCGACACCGCTACGCATTTTGAAAACTCCGAAATTCTCGATCCTTGCGTTGCACCTAAGTACGTAGAATGCACTACGCGAAACACAGGCAGGAGCGTTTATAGGAGATAGGCGAGAAAAAAGAAAGAAAGATAAACGAACAAGCGAATGAAATGTGTAATTTAAAGAGCGAACGCGCGAACGAGAAATAAGGAGAAAGAAGGATAAAATAGAGTTGCGGAGGTAAAAGGGCGAATGAGAGGCGACAAAGGGATCGCGTGCGTGTATACGTGTGCGTGTGCGCGTGTATGGGCGTGCGAGCAGCCGAGAGAAAGGTAGTTGCAAAAAGAGAAACATTAGAGTTCCGTCTTTTGAGTGTTGGAGAATGTTCATTTGTAATTGTTTAAAACTAACGAGAAATGTACTGTAAAACTATAAGTACTATAGGCACTAAAAATATATCATTTGTTGACATGAAAAAATAAAAAAAAATACGATCCCAGTGATGTGAATTTTCCCTGGCGTAGCATCGTGCGCGCACACGCTATCGTTTTAGCAACAACGCGGCGAATACGTAGTTGCTTTCTACCGAGATAACGATGATTATTTAGGTAAGAGAAGCGCGGGTTCGATCGAGAAAACACGTTAATTAGTTACCTCGACGAGTTTTTTTTTTAAGGGTTAAGGCGAAATCGAACCAACCACCTTTTCATCACTCCGTAGTTCCTGCATTTCCTTCCCCCCTTTCTATTTTTCGACCTCGCCTTCTTCTAGCTTGAACGGTCGACGAAACATTTTTAACCGGGTGGTAAGTAGTAGGATGTTGCTCTGGAAGAGCATCGAGGAAAATAATCGTTAAACGAGTGTTTCCATGAAAAATCTATTTACGATGCATGTGTATTATGTACAACGATAAGAATTATAAAATTCATACCTCACCTACTACTCTTCTATTCTCGAAACGGACCACGTATTTCTTATTACGAAATGTACTTTGAAATACAGGTGATCGTCCGAACGTATCCAACGCAACCGTGTCGCATTCGTTGTTGAGAATTTCTTAAACTAAACTGTTCTCGAAGTAAAGATAGAGCAATTGCATTACGATAAGTTGCAGTGAAACACGATGATTCGTAGCGATTTTCAAACAGTCGTTAAATTAGCAAGGCAAATAAATAAATAAGTATGAATTAAACAAAGATGGGAAATAATGTGATTTCGTTCCGTCGGATTGTCGCCTTATCGTTGCCGTGACGTCGCTGCACCCACCGCTATTGTTGACGTTGATGTTGGTGTTGATGCTGATGCTGATGTAGATGTTGGTGTTGATGGTGGTGCTGTTGCTGATGTTGCACTGTTTTAGAAACACCTTCCATCTTCGGCTGATTTTCCGAAGGAGGTGCTGGAGACTGCTTCGTTTTTTTCTTTTCCTCTTCGTTCTTCTTTACTGGAGGTGGCGGTGGCGGTGGTAACGTGTTCAGTAAACCTTATATAAACATTTCCTATTATATATATTTTGCTATAACTTTCTTTTGAAAGAGAGAAGAGAGAGAGAGAGAGAGAGGGAGTACTTACCAACAGTTTCTCCTTTAAGGGAGGCACCTGTAACGATAAAAAAGAAACAATATCATCGCAATGTAACATTGAACTCTATTTAAGCCAAGTACTCACCGTTTCCACGGTACTTATGCAACTGTTGATAGACCTGTTTCATTCTCTCGATGTTGATCCGGGAGCTCTTACTATGATTGACCATTGGCAGTGAGTAGTCTTTGCCGATGATACATTTGGCTGCACGTTGCACGCTAAGCGGTGCGTTCCATGGCTCGTGAATGTATCTCGTGGGAAAATTTTTCAGTATCGGCAAGTACCGCCTGGTGTTAGAATAGAGACAAATAAAATAGAATACAATAGGAAAAGAAAAGTGATGGAAGGATTCTTATATCGCGACAAGAGAATTAACAAAGGTTACCTAATGTAGTCGCCATTCGGATCTGCTTTCCTACCGAATCTCACTGGACAATAGCAATGGAAAAATTGTTGAAAAAAAGAGCTACACGATAGCCACATCCACATTCCAGCGTTAACCGACCAGTCGGCGTCTAACAACAGCTCGTCGAACACCTTGAGGAAGATTCGAATAGGTATTGTTGTACGAATACGAAATGTAAAAGGGAGAGAAGGGTAAGGAAAAGTGGAAAGAGAAACGCGCATTTTACGCGATATTTTACCTTCATTCCTTCTTCCCAGGAGATCCAAAGGTCGCCTCTGGTCAAGAAACAAGCGACAGCGTGTCTAGCTAAGTGATGTATCCAACCTTCTTCCCTCAATTGTGTCATAATCGCGTCGATCCACGGGAATCCCGTTTGGCCCTGTTCGACAAACGTTCTTCTTCGTTTTTTCGAATGCCTTTTCGATCGATCGTTTGCAAACGGGACAGAGATATTTTAAATACACTTACGTTTGCCCATTTCGCGAGCGCCTCGACGTTTTTGTCCCAAGGAATTTGCACGCAAATCGGATTACCCTGCATCCGATCGAAATTTGGATTTTTCGTCGCGGCACAGTAGAAGAATTCGCGCCATAAAAGCTGTCCGTGCAACGACAGCGGCGGTATGGCTTTCTTTATCTACAAGTTTAGATAGTTGTGTTTTATTTACACCAAGATGCCCAGAGCTTTCGAGAAAGCAAAACAGAAAGAAGAGTACCTTCTTGTAGAGATCGGCGAGTTGATAATAAAACAGTCGAGTGCTCAGGCATCCGAATCGTAAGTAGGGAGAGAGACCGGTCTGACTGGGCAACAACGATTGCGGTGTCATTTTTGGTCTTCCGAAACTGGCCACCCAAGCTTTCCTTTCGAGATGTCGCTCCAGCCGTGCCAAAGCCTCGCTCTCACCTCCAACCCATACAGGTGGAAGGAGTCCCTCCGTGTCGAAGCCTGTCGACAGATAATTCAAAGAACATTCTTCTTTCGATTCTATCATATACACCACGCATACGCGTATGTATTTACCAAGTTCTTCGAGCGTCGGAACGCCGTAATGATCGTCGTGATCCTCTTTCAAAGGAGTATAGGCCGAGCCTACGCAGGCAGAGGTAATAGTTGACACCGGTGGTTCCGGAGGGTCCATACTAGCAACGACATTTTGAAATTGATGATAAGTCAACGGTGGCTTCCCTCCGTTTCTCTCGATGATCCTGAAACGTGAAATAGTTATATAATAGAAATAGATAAATCAGTTGCAGCTATTTTGTTGTTAGATCGAAATCAATAGAACGTTGCAATCTTGGTCTTAGGATCGTTCAAAACGAATCGTTCGAATCAAATGAGAAGAATCGAAAAAAATATGATAAAAGAGAAGAAGAAGCATCGGGATAGTAAAAGCAAATTGGAAGATAATGAATCGAACAAAAGCGTTTGGACTCACTCGTCCAACTGGTAGAGAGTATGCGAGACCCTTTGCACCACCGAGATACCAAGCTCCTTACAAAGTGCCGAGATGTTATGATCCCGGACGCGTCCGAATGGCTCTGGGTCCTCCTCGAAGGTCAGGTTCGTGGTACCCCATTCTTTGAACAATTTTGGCAAAGCGTCCGCCGGCTGTCCTCGTATTACGAATAGTCTCGAGTTCAATTTCCTCAAAGAACAGTCGAGGTCTTCCAAGCACTGTAGCAGGAACCTGTCGAAAAGTACGAGATCAGTTGCTGCTGCTGACGATGAAAAAGAAAAAGGAAGAAGGAATCACACTCACCTCCACTTATTGATGCCAACGTTGGTGCTGCCGGCGAACCATGGATCCAAAACGAACACGCAACGAAAGGTAGACGCTCCGGCGAGACCCTCTCTCAACGATGGATTGTCGTGGAGCCTGAGACCTTTGCGAAACCAATGAACCGTGTGCTTTCCACCCTCGCCACGCACCCCAACTTCCGGATTTAGTTCACTACTACTACTGCCAGTCATTTTTTCTCTTCCGTCTGCTCTTCTTTCTCAATGTAACGTGTTGTTCAACTGAACGCGCAAGTCCCCGCGCATTTTTAAACAACCATCGATCTACCTTCTTTTCCCTCTTCTCTTCCTTCCCGACCTTGCTCGAATAGTATCTTCTCAGCCTTCAAGTACCGTCATCCTGACGAATCGATTCTGCCGAACGGAGAGCCGCTTTTTAGGTCATCAAGGTCGGGAGCGAACTCGATCGATCTACTATTCTCTCGATTCAAACTTTTCGCTATTTATGGAAAAGGAAAAAAGAACTCGTACGATCATTTAGAACGAATTGGTACCGCGTGCACAACAATTACGTGCCCCTATAATTTTACCTTTTCTTCGCTACTTTTCTCTCCTCTTTATTTTCATCTTGAAACTTGGCCAATCGAGTTTTCCAATCTGTTGGCAGAGAGTTGGACCGATTTGCTTTAGTTCGACCTGGCATCTTTACCTTGTATTAATCATCCTCGAAAGTGGAAAAAAAAGAAGAAGCGCGTAATCAAAAGACGAAGGCTGACACTTGTACCGTTGCTGCTGGGAACGTTACTATATCCATAGTATTTCGAATACACAAGGGAGGGGATTCGCCTTATTGCACACCAATGCGATATTATGTCACGCGTGTAATATTCGTGAAAGTATACGTGTTAACACGCCAACTACAAATATAGGCACTATTAATGCAATTTCATAGACGACAATAACGAAACAATTACAAATCTTCGAAATTCTCCACAATTTCTATCCGATTTAGAGTTTGCAATCGTACAATACGAATCGTATATTATCATCGTATCGACTGATATTCTTTCATCCGTTGCTAGACAATCTCGCAGAGGTATGTATTAAAATGATACAGGAGTACCATGAAATAGAAATCCATCGATGATACAACGTAAAGCAAACAATACACCTCTTGACTGGGATTTTTATTTTTGTCCAACTTCGTTAACTGTAAATTAATTCCAGATCCATTCACGTAACTAGCATTCTCTTCCTGTCATGCCCGAGTATAGACGCATGTTATATAATTATGTGATTATAATACCTGTTTCTCCGAACATGAAATTTTGTTAACAGCTTAACTTCTTTACGTCCCCTCACCGCGCGTATTTTCCTAAGGAATCGATTTCGACGGACGATCGATCGATCGATCGATAACCACCAGCACGCCTTCGTTGTAGGCGTCATTTGTCGTCTACGAAAATTCATTTACAATTATACCGAAATCAACCGTTTGTGAAATGCGATTTACTTTCTTATCGCATATTTGCTTTTCATTCAAAGTGCACCACTTCTGTATTCCGTGGAAACGTTGCAACTCACTAACAATGTAACACGAATACACTCATGTATGTATATTCAAACAAGTCTCGAACTGTTATTTAAAACTTTTGCAAAATTTTGTCGAGGTTATTGAATATCAGCTATTTCGAACGAAAAGTAGTATCACTCGTGGTAACGATAAGATGAAGAACGAAGAAAGAGCGCATCTTCGGCGACTAGATCCCTTACTTGGTTTCCACGGCAGCAAGGGAACTGACAGCATCGACAATGGTAATGGCGGGGAATGGCGTGTAAACGAAACGATCCAGCTTCTCGAGTTGACAATTTTTCCTACCTTACAATTAGACTCAAAAGTGCGATATTTAGGAGCGTAATCGTTCTTTGTATAAAAAAAAAAACCTTTCTTAATCCTTTGAACGACCGAAACGTTTTTGGCATGAAAAATAATTTCGATCGAATAGGTGGTGAGGTGACATATATGTAGTATATGCATGAACAGTAACGCGACAAAAACGAATAAAGTGATGTCAAATGATATTGCACGATTAACCGTAATATACGAACAACAACAAGTGCTTATACTTAGGCGGGAACGTAGACACGACACACTGACCCGCTGACATAATCGTTTTTCTTTCGATAGATCGTGACGTAACTGTTGCAAGTTCACACCTCGGAATCGTTGTTCCGTCGATAAAACAGAGAGAGATATCGAACAAATTTGTCTCTAATTATTACTATTTGTTTTACAACATTACACGATTAAAAAGAAGAAAACAGTCGTCACAGGTCCAATCGTCGCGATAGCACAGTACGTTAGATTCAGTTCAAATAAAATTGAAGCGAAAGAGTAAAACCACTGATCGAATAAACTCTGGCACAGAAATTCTTTTAAAGAATGCTGTTGTTTTCTAACTTGAATGTGTTTCAATTGTTATTTTATTTTATATTTTCTTCCCTTGCCTTAATAAAGGTGTTGCGTATTTCTCGAAATAACAACATGGGGATATCGTGAAGGTCGAACGGTGCGAGGCGCGAGGTTTCGCGCGCACGCGCCTGTCACGTAAGCGGCTTTCGATAAATCGGTGCAACGAATAATCTACCGTACAAAAGATGAACGTGATATACCTACCTATCCAATTTTTCTTACTGTTCATTTCGAAGAGGCAACTTTTTCCCTAAAAAACATTCACGTATCTCTTCCTGGAACGATTTCAATAATATACTAATTGCGAGATATATGTACATAAATACACACATTTTAAATCGATCGAAGACGGCGAAGGGCAACGTATTACGATGCGATATCGAGTTTAATCCGTTATCGATTCTCACGAAAAATTCCAGTTTAACGAAAACCAAGTTGGAAGAAAATACACCAAGAACGACGTTGTTATTTTAGATGTTAATTAAAAGGTGGTAATGGTAAAGAAAGCTGATATGGATTTAGGAACTGTTTGCGATTTCAACTCTATTCCCTAAACCAATAAATACTTACAATTGTGTGCAAGCACAGACATTCTATATATCCGAACGAAATACTGCTGTTCAATGTACTGGACAAGTTTATCAGAACTTGAGGAAACAGCGTGTACGCACTTGGTTCGATGTATCACCAGCGAATATCGCAAGAATAAGTTGGGATAGTATAAATTGACACGCACAAAGATCACGGTGGTACATCGGATCGCATTGTCAAGCACCGTCAAGGTTCCTTGTCACTCTCAAACATTGACGAGGCATTCTCTTTTTGGATAACGATATTCGTCCACGTTTTTCCGAAAGAAAGAAAACTGTTGAAACTTGCGACGAACGGATACGGAACGCGTACAAGGAACAGTTGTACGCATATGCCAACGTACAATGTTGACCAGCAAGCATAGAGAAGGGGCGATAGCCCATAAGAGCAAGGGGGACGCGGAGCCACGCCGAGTGCAACGTGACCGCGGCCCCGCGTACCTTCCAATTGGCCAACATGATCACGTGGTCCTTCGGTCACGTTGCAGCCGCCGTGGTTCTACACTTCTATGCCTCTTCCATCTCTCTACCGTTTATCGCAATTTCTTTCTTTTGGTCTTACCGCTTCTTACTCACACTACTTATTTCATTCTCTCCATTCGTTCGCATACTATACATATTCTATTTCACTACCAACAAGCATATCTATCGCGCGGCTTGTCCAGTAGCATTTTCTTCTTTCTTCTGCCTACTTTTCAACCACTTGTCCAACGTGATCCCATCGCGTCTCTCTCTCTCTCTCTCTCTCTCTCTCTCTCTCTCTCTCTAGGAAAAAAAAATATATATATGTTTGTGTGTGTGTAGAAAATATGTATTACGTCTGCTCTGTGTAACTGTTCAATCGTAAATGGAATAATTCACGATTATTTTATAGGAAATGCGGGAATAACCTATTCTGTAGTGATTAGTATAAAATTTATTATCGTGCTATTTCACGTGACTCGCGAGTGTAACGTGCAACGAATTACTCAAAGGTGTTGCTCAATTATTCTTGTTAATTATTGGAAACATAACTCCTCGTAAACAACTGATGCGAAAGATTCACTGACGTTCCACTATCATGGTCAGACTTTACGAAAAGTAACTCGAGCGAGTCCAAAGTTGTTTCTTTAGTTTCTTTAGAAAGAGAATGGAACCGTAAGTGACGAAAGGTTGTTATCTAAGTCTCGTATGCTAGGATATTTACCTCTGCAATACCCTTGACCGAATTATCGCGCGCATACGCATTATCATATTTTCAATATTAAATTATAGATCGATGATGTAACGCGCGATGTTACTAAGCGTTTACACGTCGATCATAAGCACGGATTTTACGATCGAACCATTTTCAATAATTGGACTGTAAATTTCAATTTCGATTGTTACGTGTAACAGGCTTAATTCTACAACTGATCGATAAGTGTGGTCGATAACTAAACTCGATTGAAAGTTTTATGGTGATGGTTGGCGTAGTAAATGGATTCGTGTCGAGGAATCGGTCACCGATATGCAATTACATAACGAGAAATGCTTTGTAGAATAATTGCATCCGTTTATTCGTGTTCGTACATAAAACGTATCAGGAAGAACAGTGGTACAACGAAATATGTAATCGGTAATTGCTTCCCGTTACTTTCGATACACATTATTCCTATCTGCAAGTCGTGCGATGCATATAAAAATGACTTTTTAAAAATCCATGTCGTCTTTACCTTACTCTCCTATTCGTTCTTCCACTCTCGAATTTCGACTATACGTGTCTCTCGCTAGTTTTTTTAATCGTAGATATTGTTCGACAACGATACCGTGTAGTCATCTACATATATGTAAATATTTTCTCTATACATTCTCGTAAATCTCATAGTTTATTTAGCGTAAATCCACACATCTTCTATTCCATAGCTCCGTTGTTGCGTATTTTTTAGTACGATTACGCGACAAGTCGTATACGGAGCAATCTTAGCCGATTTAATGTCCTCTTGGAATATTTCAAATATTACAAACATACGTTTCCTTTGAACGTGTATATCAACTAGTGTATGCAGTATTTCATTATAATTACTATCCATATAAACGAAAAAAGTGAAAGACTATCATCGCTATTGACGGAGTAAGAAGTAAATCTGACAGATACTGCCCTATTGTCGTCGCGCAACAACACGCATGGCACAGCACCGCTATGCAGTGTAAAAGCTCGTCGCAGTAATTCAATAACATCCATGCTATCCATCAATTCTTTTCGAGTAGTTACTTGTTAAAAGATGGAACGTAGTTACACTATCGTTTCGATTTTCCTCCTACGTCAGAAATAACTTGTACTCCATCAATGCCAATGCAATTCGTTCAAAACTATAAACGCATAATTTCTATTTAAATAACAATTAGTAGACCACATGCTCGAAGTTATCCGAACAAAGCATAGTTTATGGCTGTAGCGTTTCATTTTCCGTACTGCTAACGAAACTCGGCAAAATTTTAACCGTTATTTCGCCCAAGGTCCAATATTAAAGTGCAGTGAAAAGGAAAGAGAAGGAAAGAAAAGGAAAGGAAATGGAAGGAAAAACTGCTTCTTGTACGTATAGTAAATTCAAATATTGCGCGCGCGCGATATTAAATGCTCGTGACTTACACTGTTCGCAATATGATTTCGAAGCGTACGATACCAGAGTTTCCTTTCTACGAAAATAAAATTCTAAACGACTGACTGACTGATCTTCGCATATCCCCCTTTGCATTGAACAAAATACCGTGATATCGTACACAAGATACAATGAAAATATATGTAGGAAATTATGACAAGTAAACTTACATGGACGTATTAAATAGCAAGCATTAATAGGCAATTATAATTCATCAGGAAATTATCTTCAGAAAATTTCACGAATCCTATGAATACGTTTGATGTTTGCTGATTTTCATTTACGTGTTTAAAGGTGAAGTACAAAGAGTAAAGGTATCGCAGGTTCATAGTGCGAGGCTGCTGTGTAAAAAAATATATCTGCATATTACGTTCGATTAAAAATCGAAAGCACTACGAGCACCTAAGATTAAATGAAAAATAGCCTTGTACGATTCGCAACTGATTTCATTTTTTTTATTGTTTTTTTCTTTTTTTCTTTTTCAAAGTACGATCCTGCTTGCGACTATTTTTTATTTTTTTCTTAATTACCTTTAACCTCAAATGCATTCGGTTGTAAAACAACCAATAACCAAAGTCGCTATAAATGATACTACACATAGAAAATGTTCTATAAAACGTATTTTAATCTTGCTTAGTCTATAATCTGCCAAACATTATATTACAGCTACACTTTTCTTATTTTTATATAAAAGAAAAAAAGCTAGCATTCCAAACGATACTAACTTACAGCTTGGTTATTTTGCTTTTCTTAAGATTTACTTAACCGCATTCGCATTGCATCACCTCGTTAAAAAATACGATAATAGTACTACCGTAGTCTGCATATCATTTTCAAACATAGTAACTCTTTTAAAGCTATAATTTTAATCTCAAGAATTCCATCCTTTATATATATCGAATGTGTGTGTGTTTTGTGTGTCTGTGTGCGTGTGTGTTTGCGCGTGTGTGTAATATATATATATACATAAGTCGAATTTATCTTTCATGAATTATCATACAGTTTAAAGGGGCTAGAGAATAAAAGTGTTCGAGAAAAAATTTGCATGTAGAACAGACTTTGCTTTCGAAAAAGGTTCATCATCTTGCGGTAATTTGAGATAGTACGTCAATTACTAACGTCGAATGTAAATAAAAAATATTACGAAACACGATTATATACATTCGTTAAACACCCTCCTAAACGCATTAAAATCTTTCGTTCTTGTTTACGGCCGCACTAATATATCCAGGTACGCATATCAAGCCACGCAAATAATTCGATTAAGATAAGTAAAATATTGTACAAGGTGAAATTCAAACCTTTCTTTTATAATTTATAGGAACATCCATTTGGAAGGTTCGCAGTTCGTAGGCATAACGACCCGTGTAGGTAGATCATTTTATTTTACACGCTTCGGAGGTCTACCACGTTTCTTAGCTTCAGTGTTTATAGTATGATTGAGAATCGATGATTTGGCAGTATGCATATTCATTGCTTTTTGTACATTTCTCCCGGCATCGATTTTGTACAAGTCTAATTCGATCGTTTCACTTTCGATCGCCTTCTTTGATCGTCTGGTTCGGCCAGCTATTCTTTCCATCTCGTCAAACTTTGCTTGCAATCTTCGCGCCAGTTCGAAATCTTCTTTCTCTTGTATAACTAACCTCTCCATTCGTTCCTGTTCTTTAATAATTTCTTCGTCTGAGAGAACATTTTTCTCCACGATTGTACTTGTTCCGGTAGCGTTATTATTCTCTGATGATATACACTCTTGCATTTCGTTGCAAGATTTAGATGAATTGTAATTGTTACCGTCCTGCTTCTCGTACGTTACATCTGGCTCACTATTTATAGAACTGTTTGTGTATCTTATCTTTCGGGTTGTTTTTCTCAAACCAGAATTACTAATCTGGCAATTCAACCTTATGGAGACATCACTCTGTTCGCAACTTTCTGCACCAGGCTGTTTTGCTGAACGTACTCTTTGCTGCTTCGACTTCGGTAAAGCAGTTCTAGTAAACTTAGTTCTACTTTTCTTCTGCACTGCAACAGGAACTTCATCTGTCATTTTATAGTCAAGGTCCTCCTGCCTGCATACTCTCTTTCTCGTGCTTCTTTTCGTGATTGTTTCTAAATCAATATTTAAAGGTGATACTCTATTTGAATTTCTTTTGTCCGTATTTATTTTCCTCTTCTTTATTCTTTCTGCAATATTTTCTGTCGTTATCTCATCCTCTTCTTGTACTTCCGATTCTTCACCGCAAGGTGAATTCACTTTTATAGACATGGACGACGAAGTTAAATTTCTCATTTCGATATCATTCACATATTTCGCATTTGTTACAGTCTTAATATCTTTTTTAGTCCATAAAGTTCTTTGTTGTTTAGATTTACATATCATACCGTTTCTAATATGAGATTTCCAAGATTTTTGTACCTTTCTAATATCTCTATGCTCCTCTAATATTAACTTTTTATTGATTTTAGTGCCATTAATTATTTTATTCGCATTTTTAGCGTAATTTTTATTAGAATTAAATGGTACTTCTGAAACGAAATCAAGCTTCCGAATGCTGTCATGAGCTTGAAATTTTGTAACTTTGCTGGAAATAATTTGTGATTGATTACAAGATGTTGATGGTCTCTGTTCAATCTCTTCCTTACATACTTCTTTCTCTTTGGAACTTTGCTTGGTTTTTCCTACA